CCCCCCCTCATAATCTTCTCCCCTCCCTCCCTCCTTGTAATCATGTTCTACTCACCTCCCCTGCCCTGTAGCGTGGCCGAGCTTCTCTCCGGTCCGCGACCCGGCGGGACTGACAGGAAGTGCACACTGAGTGTGCACTTCCTGTCAGTCCCGCCGGGTCGCGGACCGCAAAGAAGCTCGGCCACGCTACAGGGAAGGGGAGGTGAGGCAGTGATTAAAGAAATTAAAGGGCTGGCGATGGGGGCGCAGGGCGCCCCCTCCTATATAGCGCCCTAGGCGGCTGCCTAGTTCGCCTTATAGGAAGCGCCGACCCTGACAATGGATGAAGCATATGGTGAGAACAATGGATGGCGGCCATTTTAACTCACAGACACTGTTTGGACTTTTCTACATGGTGCCAACTCGCCGGTATTTGGTGCACAAAGACATTGTGCAGTAGTTTTAATCTATACAACAGGGGACACATTATACAGTAATTATTTTTCATATAGCCTGTATATGTCCTGCGGAATCTGCATGAAACTGTATCTTCCAAACTACTGAACGGATCTGGGTGAATTTTATGGGGTTATTGCATGTTTTGGGCTCCCTGTGATATGTTTTATTATACTGTATTTCTCTGCCTGTGATAATTATATTAACCATTGTGTTCAGTAATCATATCACAGGCAGAGGGGAGGATTTTGTGTGGGAGTGTCTGTGTGTATTGTACGGATTGACTGGTCGTATTTCAAAACCCTGTGGGCAGTACTATGTTTGTGGTTTGTGAATAAAAGAGGCTGTATGAGCCAGTACAGTCAGTTCTGCTTGACCTCAAAACGAAGTGTCGTCTTGTTATTGGGGGAATTGGATTGTATGCTGATTGCCAGGAGTGTAAGCTGATTGTATGCTTTTCCTGTTCAGCTGCTTACAGCATTCATATGCTTGAGAGCATTCGTGTGCTTCTCCGGTTCGGTGGTTGTGGTGTCTGCCTCAGTGCTTGGAGTCCTCAGGAAGCTCTAGGAGCATCCTTCAATGGAGGAAACCCAGTCGGGGTGCCAGGTGATCCGTTACACAGTGTTAGTAAAGAGTCGACCTATATCCAAGATATACAGGGTTAGAAAAGAGCTGATGGGCGGATATGGAGGAAGATTTAATGACACCAGACTCGCCAGGGTTGTATATGTGGTTGAATAAGGTTTCAAGACCAGGGTTGAAACAAATATGCCCTTCTACGGCAAACTCCCTCCACATTTGGGATAAACTTAAGTTAAAATATGGTCTAACTAATTTCCCTTCACCCATGACCCCTGTTTTTCGGAATAGACAATTTATTCCTGGTATGGAAGAACACAATTTTCAAGGCTTAAAGGCAGGAGGAATCTATAGATATGTAGATCTTTGGTCAGAAGGAGAGGTAGTTTTATTTTCTAGTTTGTTGACCAGAGTAGAACTGAGGACAGGAGATTTTTCTTCGTTATTTGCAGATTAGAGATTTTGCGTATTCAATGGAGGTAAAAACGGCAGTTAAATTCCCCTTCACTAATTTTGAAAAAATGTGCAAAATAGGTAGGTTAAAGGGAGGTCTTATCTCTGATTTCTATAATCAACTAAGTGAGGAACCTACGGTTTGGGCTCCATTAAAGTATATATCCTACTGGGAGGCAGATTTAGGTTCTTCTTTGGAAACTAAGGATTGGATAGATATCTGGGAAACAGCATCCAAAATATCGATTTGTGTAATCTCGCAGGAACAAATGTTTAAGATATTATTTAGGTGGCATGTGACCCCTGTTTTTTTGTACAAAATAGGTAAAAATCTGACGGATCTTTGTTGGAGGGGATGTGGTTTACAAGGGACATATTTACACATGTGGTGGGATTGCCCAAAGATTAAAAGCTATTGGGAGGAAATAAGGGAGCTAATTCAAGTGATAATACAGGGAAATATAGAACTCAATCCTTGGATATTTTTGCTATCGAAATCAATAGCAGGTATACCCTGCCATTCGCAGAAATTAATATTTTTAATTTTATTGGCCGCACGTAGATGTATAGCCGCTAGCTGGATAAATCTGGATTTACCATCAATGAGAGAGGTGGAATTAAAGATTCAAGAAAATTATATAATGGATGAATTATCATCTAGAGTAAGACATTCTTATTATATGTTTGGTAAGGTCTGGGAACCCTGGAAGGTTTATGCGAATAGGAAGGGTATAGGTAGATAGAGAGGCAGAGGGGGGGAGAGTGTATTAAATGTTTTTTTGTTTTTTTTTGTGTGTGTAAAAATTTGTATTGATGAATAACTCAAAATGGTGATATTAGAGTTAAATGCAATCTTTTAGGTAATATTGCTGTTAAATGCATGTTAAAGATTGTATAATGTATAATGAGTTCTTTTTTGTTGTTTTTAGTGTTAAATAAAGAAAGAATATAAAAAAAAAAAAAAAAAGCTGAGCTATAATCTAAATATACAGGGTTAGTAAAGAGCCGACCTATATCCCAGATATACAGGGTTAGTAAAGAGCTGAGCTATAATCTAAATATACTGGGTTAGTAAATAGTCAAGCTATATCTCAGATATACAGGGCTAGTAAAGAGCTATATCCCAGATATACAGGGTTAGTAAATAGCTATATCCAAGATATACAGGGTTAGTAAATAGTCGAGCCAAATCTCAGATATACAGGGTAAGTAAAGAGCTGAATCCCAGATATACAGGGTTAGTAAATAGTCGAGCTATATCTTAGATATACAGGGCTAGTAAAGAGCCAACCTATATCCAAGATATCCAGGGTTAGAAAAGAGCTGAGCTATAATCTAAATATACAGGGTTAGTAAAGAGCCGACCAATATCCCAGATATACAGGGTTAGTAAAGAGCTGAGCTATAATGTAAATATACAGGGTTAGTAATGAGCTGAGCTATATCTCAGATATACAGGGTTAGTAAAGAGCTGAATCCCAAATATACAGGGTTAATAAAGAGCTGAGCTACCAATATAAAGTAATGCAGGTTTTTTCATGTCACACAGTATTCCTTCGTGTTATTATTTTAAAAACGCCAACAAATTCCATAGCACTGTACAATAGGTGGAATAACAGACATGTATTTGCAACAAGATGAGGTGGATAGACAGGAACAGAGGGTGCTGAGGGTTCTGATTAAACAAGCTTACATGCTAGGGGGAGTGGGGTAAAGTGGCACCAGAGGTAAGGGAAGGATATATTTCATGTACGGGAAAAAGTATGTTGCTAGAATAGTTCCCAATGAAGGGTTAGTTTTTTGGGGTGACACAGTTGCAGGAGAAGAAGCAGGGTGGGTTACCAAGGTGCACGGAGGGAAAGCTATTAACAATTTTATTCATATGCTTTCCTAAAACAGTGAGTTTTTAACAATTTTTTGAAAGAACTGAGACTGTGTGAAAGTCTAAGGAGCACAGTAGGCAGTTTCTTAGGAATGGCGTAGCCCTAGAGAATTCTTGAAGGGGCCACAGGTACGAGAACAAACAGAACATAGACATAGATCTTCGGCAGAGTGTAGGGCCCTGGATGGGACATGCTTGTATATCAGTGAGGATAGGTAGGTATGAGCAGCATTATGAATTTTAAATTGAGCCCTATATTTTACAGGAAACCAATGTAAGGACTGCAGGTAGGGGCAGGCAGATAGCGGGATGAGCCTCGCAGCCGCATTCATTATAGATTGTAATAGGGCCAGCTGGGAACTGAGAAGTGGATTGAAGTAGTCAAGGCGAGGCACCTTGGTCGCATCCAGCTTTAGATAAAGGCAGATGTGAGCTATGTTTTTAAAATAGAAATGGCAGTATTTGGCAAGTGACAACTTGAGGGACAAAGGAGAAGTTGGAGTCAAAAAGAACACCTAGGTTCCGAGCCTGCAGGGTAGACTGGATGCTAATGCCATTGACTTGGAAGGAAACAGACATGGGAGTAGCAACACTTGAGGGAGGAAAGACAAGAATCTCTGTTTTGGATAGTTTAAGTTTATGAAAAAGAGCAACCGTAGGAACGGTGAGCAATCAGGAGAGGACAGATAGATTTGCGTTCAATCCGCAACGAAATTAAATACATATGGTGGTGATGTGGTTAGATTTCAGTAAGCTGAGCTGATTTTGTTTGATTTTTTGGTAATTTTCTTTGATAAGTTTAGTAAAAGGAATGTTAAGCTGTGCCCCATTTCTCTGTGAAACATAACCATTTTTTAAAATTGCTCATATTATTTCTGTTCAGTAAATCAAATCTAAAATGTTCACATTCCTAAAATATATGCAGGAATTACAATCCAAGACAATAAAAGGTGCCAACACGTCTATAAAACAGCAAATGTAAAAAATTCAGTAGATTAAAAACTATGCATGCAGTTTAAACAGTTAGGCAAAGGTGCAGTCTAGGGCACCCCCTACAGAACAATTGAGTAGTTGCACTTCTTCATGCTATCTCTGCAGTTAGATTTTCTGCCAGCTGCTTCCTTGAGGTTTCATTCTGTGGCACTCGATGCACAGAAATACACAGCCGAGTTCTGTATTCTGGCAGATTCAAGGTGTAGAACTGAATTCTCAATGTCATTCCTCTCTAGCTCCCAGCCTGATTGAAAGTCTGATTCCATTGTCTGCTTTTTATCAGCTTGCATTGACCAGATCATAAGCTTTAGTCCTTCTCCTGGTTTCTGTTGGTACCAGAACATGTTTACATTGTTGGCATCTTGGCTACAAGTCATATTTGCCGGCGATCCCTCCATCACTAACAACAAATTCGGAATCTGTGTGACGACCACTCCCTGGCATACACCTACAGGAGATTAGAGGATCATGAAAAGAGACAGAATTAACACCTCAATAAATACAAATGTGTCAAATATTACACTACGGGAATGTCTAACAACCATCCTACAAGGTGGCCAATAATGATATCCAGATGCTCTCACAAAGGCTCTGCTGCTTATCCGGTAAAATTAAGAAGTCTTATAACCATAGACTAATAAGGTCCTTGGTTAGCCTTACTTGGGAGGAAGCTTAGGATAAGGACTACTGTCCTCATCTCTCCAGCCATGGATGGGACTCTCACTGGTAGACCAGCATGATCTGTAATTGGATCAGATTTATGAACAAATGTACAGTACACGGTCCATTAATCTCCTTCTAGCTCTCTTCAATAACTTATATGTGAACAGCCCTCCTCCCTCTGTGAGTGTGTCTCCTCTCTCTCTAAGTGTGTCTCCTCTCTCTATAAGTGTACCTACTCCCTCTCTAAGTGTGTCTCCTCCCTCTGTGAGTGTGTCTCCTACCTCTGAGTATGTCTCCTCTCTCTCTGAGTGTTTCTCCTCCCTCTCTGAGTGTGCCTCCTCTCTCTAGGGTGTCTCCTCACTCTCTCTCTCTCTAAGGTTGTCTCCTCCCTCTGAGAGTGTGTCTTCTCTCTCTCTAAGTGTGCCTCCTCTCTCTCTAAGTGTGCTTCCTCCCTCTCTGAGTGTGCCTCCTCTCTCTCTGAGTGTCTCCTCTCTCTAAGGGTATCTCCTCTTTCTCTAAGATTGTCTCCTCCCTCTGTGAGTGTGCCTCCTCTCTCTCTGAGTGTGTCTCCTCTCTCTCTAAGTGTGTCTCCTCTCTCTCTAAGTGTGCCTCCTCCCTCTCTGAGTGTGTCTCCTCTCTCTCTAAGGTTGTCTCCTCCCTCTGTGAGTGTGTCGCCTCTCTCTCTAAGTGTGCCTCCTCTCTCTCTAAGTGTGCCTCCTCCCTCTCTGAGTGTGTCTCCTCCCTCTCTGAGTGTGTGTAGCGGAGTAGCAAGGGTTAATCCAAGAGCTCTCCGTTAGTAACCAAGATTCAGCATACAGAAGATAGGAAACACAGCATAATCCCTTTCCCCAATGACTAGACGACACATAGTCTGGGAGTCAACTGGCTTTTAATGCACAATCTCTGCTTTCATGTGTTTCTCCCACTCTTGTCCATCCTTTCTCTCTTCCTTTTTGGATGGTCTGGTCACAATTATATGTGTCTCCTTTGTCTTCCTCTACGACTGACTTGATTCTAATGTCGAGCAATTGACAGATCATCATAGGATGAACTAAAAAAAACTGCAAATTATTCAGTCATCGTGTATCTGCCTGTTTTTTAATGAGTGGGGTTTTTTTACCACGTGTTTCCTTCCACTTTTACTGTGTCTCCTCTCTCTAAGGGTCTCCTCTCTCTCTATTGTCTCCTCCCTCTGTGAGTGTGCCTCCTCTCTCTCTGAGTGTGTTTCCTCCCTCTCTAAGTGTGCCTCCTCCCTCTCTGAGTGTGTCTCCTCTCTCTCTAAGGGTGTCTCCTCTCTCTCTGAGTGTGTCTCCTCCCTCTCTGAGTGTATCTCCTCTCTCACTCTGAGTGCTCTGAATCCAGAGGTTTCTACTATCCTTTCTCTCTTCCTTTTTGGATGGTCTGGTCACAATTATATGTGTCTCCTTTGTCTTCCTCTACGACTGACTTGATTCTGGTCGAGCAATTGACAGATCATCATAATGAACTAAAAAAACCTGCAAATTATTCAGTCATCGTGTATCTGCCTGTTTTTTAATGAGTGGGGTTTTTTTACCACGTGTTTCCTTCCACTTTTACTGTATCTCATTAGAAAGCCGCAATCAAATGATGTTGTCCTATAAATGACATAATTTGGTTACATACTAATATTGGCTAAAAACATGACTTTAATGGCTATAAGACACACACACACTAGATGCCCTTCCTCCTTAAAGGGACACTCCACTGACTTAATACTAAAATAAAAATCGCTATTCAGTAGTTATATCCCAAATGAAAACTTGCTTGCATTTAATTATGCATTTATGCCTAAAAAGAGCTTGCAAAAACTGTAGATTTCTGCAGCCTTTGCAAGCCCTACTCTTCGAACCCCGCTCAGACTTTATATGGCTGTCCAATCACAGCTCAATGAGAAGTCTTTGCAAGGCAGATGCTCTAGGCAATTGCTGCCTTTTGAGTTCAGTGCAAATAAGCTAACCAAACCAGGAAGTAACAGAATTAGAGTTGAGCGAACCCAAACTAAAAAGTTCGGGTTTGTACCGAACATTAAGTTTTTTTTGGACCCCGGACCCGAACACTGACATATCACTGTATGTTCGGGTTGGAGTTCGGTGTTCGGCGATTTAATGACGCGTTTTGAAAGGCCGCAGGGCAGCCAATCAACAAGCGTTTGACTTGTGTGCCCTTAGAAGCCATAACAGCCATGCCTACTAATGGCATGTCTGTGATTGGCCAGTGCAGCATGTGACCCAGCTAGTAGGGGCTAGCCTGTGGCTGCTCACTGTTAAACCAAAATTCAATCCTCCTGAGCCCCCACCCGCGACGCGCGAGTGGGGGCTTTTAAACTAAAATGGGACCTACTGTCCTCCCCCCGGCCCCCACCCATGCGCGGCAGTGGGGGCCCTAAATAACAATAAGGGGGGGACCTACTGTCCTCCCCCCGGCCCCCACCCCTTAGCGGTGGGTGGGGGCCCTAAATAAAAACTGGGGGGACCTAATATCCTCCCCCTCAGCCTCCACCCCTGTGTGGCGGGTGGGGTCCCTAAATAACAATATGGGGGGGACATACTGTCCTCCCCCCTTCGACCCACCCCTTAGCGGGGGGTGGGGGCCCTAAATAAAAATTGGGGGGACCTAATGTCCTCCCCCCAGCTCCCACCCCTGCGTGGCGGGTGGGGGCCTAAATAACAATAAGCGGTGACCTAATGTCCTACCCCCGGCCCCCACCCCTGCGCGGCGGGTGGGGGCCCTAAATAACAATAAGGGGGGGACCTACTGTCCTCCCCCCCGGCCCCCACCCCTTAGCGGTGGGTGGGGGCCCTAAATAAAAACTGGGGGGACCTAATATCCTCCCCCCCAGCCCCCACCCCTGCGTGGCAGGTGGGGGCCCACATAACAATATGGGGGGGGACATACTGTCCTCCCCCCTTCGACCCACCCCTTAGCGGGGGGTGGGGGCCCTAAATAAAAATTGGGGGAACCTAATGTCCTCCTCCCAGCCCCCACCCCTGCATGGCGGGTGGGGGCCCTAAATAACAATAAGGGAGGACCTATTGTCTTACCCCTAGCCCCCACCCAGCTGGCCCCAAATTTTTATTTAGGGCCCCCACCCACCGCTCAGGGGTGGGGGCCAGGGGGAGGACATAAGGTCCCCCCCCTTATTGTTATTTAGGGCCCCCACCCGCCGCGCAGGGATGGGGGCCGGGGGGGGACATTAGGTCCCTCCCCCTTATTGTTATTTAGGGCCCCCACCTGCTGCGCAGGGGTTGGGGCTGGGGGGAGGACATTACATCCCCCCCTTATTGTTATTTAGGCCCCCGATCCAGGGTTGGGGGCCGGGGGGGAGGACAGTAGGTCCCCCCTCCACATTCTTATTTAGGCCCCCCACCCGTCGCACAGGGTTGGGGGCAATAGGTTTTTTTGGGGGGGAGTTTACAGTGAGCAGCCACTAGCTGCTCACTGTTTACTAGACACGCCCCTACTCGTGGTATAGCGAGTAGGGGCAGAATTTACTAATACTAATACTAAGTAATCTTTACTTAGTATTAGTAAATGTGGCTGAAAGACCAATTTAGGTCTTTCAGCCTTTTGGTAGATAGCTAACTAATACAATGGGAATTAGGGAGTTGTCTACTAAGCGGCTGCTTATTTTGTTATTTTTAAGTGATTTCCCTATCCACATTTGTTTGCAGGGCACTTGTCCTACTCTTACCCCATTTTACTTCCTTTTGCATTCCTCTAGCCCTCTCCAGGAGTTTTTTAGAGCCATATTTGTGCCCAAAAGTTCGGGTCCCCATTGACTTCAATGGGGTTCGGGGTCAAGTTTCTGGGTCAAGTTCGAGCCCGAACCCGGACTTTTTTTCAAAGTATTGCCGAACCCACCGGACCCGAACATCCAGGTGTCCGCTCAACTCTAAACAGGATCTTTTATCTGTTTCAAAAGCTAGGGGGTTATAACCAGGTTAATTTATAATAATGTCAGTTTCTATTAAAATCTGCACTTTTTCCAAATCGAAAAAAATAGGACACCTTCTTCACACTTAAAGCTTTTCAGCAAACTAAAGTGCTTTAGGGGTCTGGAGCATCCCCTTAAGATCTTAGATTATCAAAGGGCTTCACATTCTGCGTGATCACTCACAGCCTGATATGTTGAATGTGGCTAATGCTTCCCATAGCAAAGCATTGGGTTTAGTGCTAAACTATGAGAAGTATTGCTACACATTTGCCATAGTTCGGTGATGCCTGAATTAGACCAGAGAACACCAAGTACAATGATCCCACCAGTTGTAGAGCAGTATGTCTGTCGCGGTGCGGCATTACAGGTAAGTCTAATGTTTTGTTTTAAATTTTGCTTCAAAAAGTGTGGCTTAAATCTATAACTAGAAATGAAAACATCTAATTAAAAAATAAGCTAATTTATTTTAAAAGTTGTTCCTTTACCCATTTAAGGATCACATTACAGTCTAAGCCATCATTCAGGGCAGGGCTTCACTGTCCATTGATGGGATAGACCATCACGCAGTAAAAGCACCAGTACGGCTAAATCCCTGTGGGCACCTGGGGACCCTAGTTATCATCCAATATCTGAGGGTTCCCTTTATCAGTTGGAGAATCAATTAGCGGTCCCAGATCTACAATTGAGCTGTGAGCAGTGCTCAATTATAGAGTATCAAAAGAAACTAAAATTTCGCTTTTGTAAAATAATAAGTACTATGTATAGGTGCACTTAAATATAAAAAGTTAAAATGTGGTAAAATTAACAGATGGCAAAAGTTCCATAAAGGCCTTGGTCACAAACACATAGCACATCAAAAGAACATTGGTCCGTAAGATCCTTATGGGGTCAATATCACACTAAACTGTTACCAGAGCAAATGAAACAATACATCTGGAGTATTACATAACTGTGTATTGTCTTTACACATCCAGAGAACTGCACCTTTGATGAGATGATAAACTGTAAACCCACTTTTTTAACTATGTCAAAGCTTCCACTACCGAGTGTTGTTTGTTTTTCCAAAAAAAATAATAGGGGTTTAATCACTAGATTGTAATGAATTGAAAACTAAATTGAACAAATTAGGCCACAATAGACATGCATGTTTTGGAGATTATTTAAAGATCAGTGTTTTGTGTTTTTATTCTCTTTTTATTTCTGCAGTTTGATGTGGATCTGATTTTAATTGTTTGTTTGTTTTTTTGGTTTTTGTTTTGTGATAATTTTCTAAAATTCTCTCTTCCATAAAACATATACATAGATTACAAGACTGTAAAAGGTACGCGATGTCTATTGGACTGCAAATACAATTACAATAGACTGAATACTGTATACACATTTTGTGGAAAATGTATCACTAGAGCACACCCTGCAGAGCAAGTGAGATGTTGCAATTCTTCGTGCTATCTCTGCACGGTGAGATTTAATGCCAGCTGCCTCCCTTAGGTTTCATTCTGTGGGATGTTGCACAGAAATACACAGCCAAGTCCTGCGTTTTGGAAGAGATGAGTTGTAGAATGGAATTCTTGATGTCATTTCTCACTAGCTTCCAGTCTAATTCAAAGTCTGGTTCCATTCTCTGCTTTGTATTAGCTTCCAGTGACTGAATCATAAGCTTTAGTCCTTCTCCTGGTTTCTGTTGGTACCAGAGCATGTTTACATAGTCAGTATCTTGGCTACAAGTCATATTTGCTGGCGATCCCTCCTTCACGAACAGCAACGTCGGCGTCTGAGTGACGACCACTCCCTGACACACACCTACAGGAGATTAGAGGATCAGGAAAAGAGAAAGAATTAGCACCTCAATAATTACATCCCTGTCAAATACTAATGCCAAAGTCAAAGATATCTGCAGCTGAAAATCATCTCTTCTATCCGGTGATCAATAATTATAGTAAATAAAGTCCCTCACTGGGAATCTATTGCATAGTGAAAAATAAACTTATAGATCCTTATAAACGCAGACTGATAATGTCCTGGGGTCAGGCTCACTTGGAAAGATGCTTAGAATGAGGAGTACAGTCAAAGATGCTCGTCTCATTTCACCAGACATGGATGGTACTCTCACTGCTGCACCAACATCATCTGTAATGGAGGAGAGATCAGCTTTATGGACAAATATATTAATCATTCATTTCCTTCTAATCCTCCTTCACGACTCTGTAATTTCTGTATTTGAGTATCCCTCCTCCCTAGTTGAGTATTTTTCCTCCCTCTTCTTGTATCCCTCCCCCCTCTTAGCGTATCCCTCCTCCTCCTCTGAGTGCATAACCCTGACTCTAGCGGTTGATCTCTTGTTTATTGATTTGCATCTTGTGACAGTTATAGTGTCTCTGTTTCCTATCCCTTTCAATTACACATGTTATCTCTGCTAAGGGGACACTGTAGACACTATAACCATTTCATTTCACTGAACTGGTTATGGTGCCTTAAGTCACCTGGCGCCGTTCCTCAATCAATGTTAAACCATTTTTAAGCAGTTTTACACTGAATGAGGGTCCCTGACTGCCCACAGTAGGGCCCCATGGACTAGGAAGTATGGCTAGGAACAGGGCCGCCATCAGGGGGTGACAACCATGACGGTTGTCACAGGCCCGGCGGCCGTGGGAGGCCCGGCCACCCGGACCCCACGTGTAGCGGCGGAACTGCCGCCGGTGCAGTTGCAGCGGGGCCCGCACGCTGATGGGGCCTATCAGGTGGCCCACGCACTTAGGGCCATCCGATGGGCCCTATATCTTCAGGGGCCCAGTCAGCGCTGTGGCCGTGTTATAGCGCGACCGGGCCCCTTTAAAAAAAACGCAGCTGCAGCGCAAGTGCTGCTGGGAGGAAGTGGTCACTTCCTCCCAGCTCACTCCACGCGGGAGGAGACCAGCCAGGCTGTGAAGAGGGAGAGCCACGCCGACTCCCATCAGCCCCAGCCACCCTCCTGCAAAGAAAAGGTAAGCACAGGAGGGTGGCTGAAAAATATCCTCTGTGTGTGTGTGTGTCTGTCAGTGTGTCTGTCTGTATGTATGTCTGTATGTATGTATGTCTGTATGTATGTATGCCTGTATGCATGTCTGTCTGTCTGTATGTCTGTATGTATGCATGCATGTATGTATGTATGCCAGTAGCAATGTATGTCTGTATGTCATTATGTATGTCTGTATGCATGTCTGTCAGTATGTATGTATGTATGTATATATGTATGTCTGTGTGTCTGTATGTATGTCTGTATGTATGTCTGTCTGTCTGTATGCATGTATGTATGTATGCCAGTAGCAATGTATGACTGTATGACATTATGTATGTCTGTATGTCATTATGTATGTCTGTATGCATGTCTGTCAGTATGTATGTATGTATATATGTATGTCTGTGTGTCTGCATGCATGTCATTATGAATGAATGTATGTATGCATGTATGTCTGTATGTATGTATGTTAGTATCAATGTATGTCTGTATGTCATTATGTATGTATATATGTATGTCTGTATGTCAGTATGAATGTATGTCTGCATGTCATTATGAATGTATGTCTGTGTGTATGTGTGTGTATGGATGTCAGTATGCATGTATGTCAGTATGCATGTATGTCAGTATGTATGAATGTATGTAGGTCTGTCAGTATGTCTGTATACATGCATGTATGCCAGTATGAATGTATGTCTGTATGTCATTATGAATGTATGTCTGTGTATGTATGTATGTCAGTGTCTGTATGCATGTATGTGTGTATGTATGAATGTATGTATGTATATATGTATGTATGAATGTATGTATATCATTATGAATGTATGTCGGTGTCTGTATGTATGTCAGAATGTATGTGTCTGTATGTCCTCATGCATGTGTGCCTGTATGTATGTTAGTATGTGTCTGTCACTGTGTATGCCTGTGTGTCTTTATATGTGTGTATGTCTCAGTATGTGTGTGTCAGTATATATGCCTATATGCGTGTATGTCTGTTTCAGTATGTGTGTCTGTTAGTATGTATCACACAGGCGAATTGAAACTGGGCGCATTCACACATGCAAATGTCATTGTACACAGGCAAATTTTGTTCCTGAAAGACAGCTTAAGAAAGATTAGACTTGACATGTAACACTAGAATTGAAATACCATCAATGTTACTATGGTATATTGCAATAAACATTTTCATTGTAGCACAATGTTGTATAATAGTATCTTCTTGTATAAATGCGCATTACATTTACCAGCAAAAACATTTGAAAGAATTGAGATGTGCATTAGATTTGAGTAAATACGGTATATTAATATATATAGTAATATAAAAATATTAAATATATTATGTAAATATTATATAAAAATATATATTTATTCTTTTTACAGCTCCCCCTTTTTTCCCTCTACTGCACACTTCTCACTTGATTTGTGAATAAAATCAACATTTAGTGACTGTTTTCCAGCCATCAATCATCTGTTTGTTTTTGTTTTTTGGTGCCATGGGCGGGATTTCGAATCATAATTCAAAACAAACATGTTCAGCCTTGTTTGATGTGTCATTCGGGTACATTTTGGCTCGGAGTTCAGATATTCGACCAATATGCCAATCGGCCTAAATTCAGACAAATTGCAGTTTGGACTTAAATGAATCTCCAAGTCTAGTTGTTTCTACTCATTGTAGTCCAAGTCTAGTCATTTCTACAGGTAAAAGCATACACATTCAGTGAGGAGACTAGAAGTATAATGAGATATAGGCCTATTTAAGCTATCTGACCTCATCTTTTAATATGTATAGATATGCAATTGCTCCAAAAAAAAAAAAAAAAAAACAGCTATTCAATAATAGTATGTAAAATGTAAAAGCTATATTTTAATATATTATATTATAACTGGGGGTATTGTACTCCTCTCATTTCCCCCACTAGAATATCATTGAGGATATGTTCCCACTACCCTGTCCTCCTGTCCTTGACTTGTACCTGGCCTGCCCGGTCACCACTTGACCCTTAGGGAAGCAACCCACACCATTAGGTATACACAGAGCTGCAGAATCAGCCTACCTCTCATACAAATAATACAAACAGCCCACACACAAACACACACAGTCACTAGAAGCACAACACCACTGACAATCCACATACACACACAACCCCACAAGCACACACAAAGTCACATATCATCCACACGCACAGTTCCACAAGCAGCCCACAATGCTCAGCCCACATTTATGTGTATCATACACAATACCACAAACTACTCACTATAACAGCCCGCATACACACAAATACAATGCTACAAAGCAACTGCAGCATCTATATTACAAGCAGAATAGGGCAACATACACACCTCAATTATAAAAAAAAAAAAACAGGACCAGCACGCCAAGGGGCTTCAAGATCTTGTGTTAGCATAGTACTACTTAAAGGTAGCCTACCCATGTCCTACATGAATGTGTGTTTACATGCATTGTCCCAGTCAATCCCCATGACTTGTAAAACCTCTCCAACTCAGTTTGGCTATATTTACCTAAACCTGCAATCTGTTTTTTAATCCACTACAGTTGAGTATTTAGTGAATAATCCTTAATTGCTCATGGATCAGTCCCACTGATGGAGAATATATATATACGGTGAGTAGAGCAACAGCTCCCCCTGCAGATCTTACTCATAGGTGTCTCCACTTCTTTTCCTATGTCGGATACAGTATATGTAATGGTCCTGCTTCAATTTGTGATACTGTGTACTAACTGCGCAAAAATACACTGCCGAGTCCTCCACCTCCAGGTTACTTATCTTCAGGCTGGATTCGAGGATTATTGGCCTTTGTACGTTCCATTTGGTTTTCATTTTATCATCCTCAAATTGAAAGCTCTTCTCGCCAGGGGAGTAACCCATGGAAATAACCCCTTCTTTCTCTTTCTGTAAATACCAAAATAAAGTTATATAGCTGGAATCATTGTAGGAGCACTTGATTGTGGCTTCTTTGTCAGCCTCAACAATTAAGAATGTATCCTGCGTAACTTTCACCTGTCCTCCCTGGCAGCAGCCTGCAAGAGAGAAATTAAAATACAAAATATTTAGTATTTACATCAGAAAAATAAAACAACACCTACTGCTGGTGTCAAACTGGAACTTTATATCTGACAATCTTTGCATTCTGCTATCTTCTCTCTACTAATAATATATCTCACAGTGCCTCGGTATGGAGATACTTTTAATTAAAAAAATATTACCAATCTCTATATCTGAGTGGACACAATATTTTTTTAATTGTGCTATGTCACTAATTAATTCTATGATTTAATATTTTTGGATACGACCTTTCAACTTATTTGATATTTTTAGATAAACTTTTAACATGGTTTAATATCTTGAAAAGTATTTTCATATTTAGATATTAGACATACTGATATATTTTTTTATTTAATTATAGATTTTTTATATTTTAATATATTTTCAAAAGTCAATCCAAAAATACTAAATCATCTGAATAGTTCATCCAACAATATTAAATGAAAGCCTAAACTAGATCTTGAATATTCCCCCTTAGCACTGGAGCACCCACAGCTGAACATAATTGTATCCCTGATATTATTTCAGACGTACATAGGAGAAAGCAGGGGACTAGGAAAATCTGCAGTGACCTGCTCATTGCTAACATGTTACCATCTACTGCCAGAGAAATGAAAATGGATAATCTCTTAGACTTTTTTTCTAAATGTTTTTTCTCTTCTCATGTGACGTTGCCTCTTGCTTCCGTTTCATCTCACACAGGAAATAATTTTAGTGCATTTAGATTAGATTTAGACGCACTTGATTCTATTCTGTGAGGTCCTCGTTGCTATGCCAAGTTCACTAAGTGACCAAACCACACACTGGGTTATTCAATTAAGTGTGAATTGCCATGAATTTAAGGTGATTATTAAATTATAGACTTAAATATCCAAAATAAATATATACCCAACTTGAAAAATGTACCCAATTTGTCTATTTTGATTTAAAACTTGAATTCTAAACAATTAACTCATTACTGAATAACCTTAATAGAATTGTTTTATTATGCAAGCAGATAGGAACTGTAATTTATAATTGCATTCTATTATAGAGATAGGTTTATCACTTGTTATTGCATTTTAACTCAAACTAATGGGAACCTCCATTCAGTTAGTAAGTAAATTACAGTAACGTATCTCTGATAATACCGCCTAATTTAAAACATGTTGCATACCTTCAATTCCATGCCAAAATATTTGTTTTGGCATTAAAAATTACAGTCAATTTTAGATGGATTTTCTGTAACTCTTAACATCCATATGAAATGCTACTACTGTCTGTCTTTGTCATTGTCAGTACTTGTTATTTTAACCATTTTGTCCTCATTAAATATTGAATTTTAAAAATAAACTAAAATCCGCTGTAATGTATTGCATGTACATACAGTCAGGTCCATAAATATTGGGACATCGACACAATTCTAATCTTTTTGGCTCTATACACCACCATAATGGATTTGAAATGAAATGAACAAGATGTGCTTTAACTGCAGACTTTCAGCTTTAATTTGAGGGTATTTACTTCCAAATCAGGTGAACGGTGTAGGAATTACAACAGTTTGTATAACTCCACCCCTCTGGTAGACAGCCACGGTAGGCACTTCTGGGTACTTACCGGACTTTTGGTCGCTTTGCATGAGGACATCCAGCGTCAGCTAAAACCCTATAGGAAAGCACTGATTCAATGCCTTCCTACGGGGAAGTCCTAATGCGATCGCAGCGCTCGCCAAGCTGGCACGTTAGGACCCCCTCGCCAGCTGGAGTCGGTAGAGAAGAAGCCTGGTCAAGCACCAAGGGACATCGACGGTGGAATCAGGTAAGTGACAAAAGGGTTTCTAACACATTCAGCGCGGGGAAGGAAGCCACAAGACGGGGCAGAGTGTATTATTGTGCTGGGAATACAAGTTTGTATTGCTTGCACTATAATTTCCCTTTAAGTACTAGAAATTAGCAGCCCACAAATCTTCTAGTCTTTACATCATTGGATTGCAGGTTAGGAGTTCCAAGAGAGATTTAGCAGGTATCTGGGAAGATTTGGGATGCGGAGTGAGAGAAAACAGCAGGAAAGCAACGAAATATTCCGCATGCACTTAATCAGTGTCTTAGGCACTTTGTTGAAGACAGTCAAACTGCAATGGATGGACCCGCACCCTCCCTCTGTTTGTATCTATTGTGTTGTCTTTACATAACTTGCAGTATTGTCATTTTGTTTATGTTCACAGGGGACAAAGTCATACTTGTTGGTAAAAGTATACGAGATGGATGTTTATCTGGTTTGGATTAGGGAGGACCGGTTATAAATAACTCACTGACATAATTAAGGTGGTAAAGAAAGTATCATAATGTTACGTGTTTTATTGGTTTGTCTTTACATTAAATTTATGAATAATATTTGGTAAGATTTCTTATTGAAAATTAAATGGCCATTATCCCAATTTTAAAAGTAATAAATGTGCCTGTGTTTATTATGTGGTCTCTTATTCGTATTTTTTATTTTAATATTAAATGGTCTCTTATTTATGTGTTTACTATTTATTGCCTGTTTTGCATAAAAGAGGGGATGCTAAAAGCTAATAAACACTCGGTTAGCATACTGAACATTGCCTACCATCTTATAAAAAAGAAATCTGCCTGTTTTGAAATAGGACTTTCTCCCAAGTCTTATAGAAATTGGCACTTTTATAAATTGCCTTTCAAATGGGATACTCCTATCCAAACAAGCATGTCAGCAAGCAGAGATTGTAGAGTGGTCCTTTAATACACGGTGTCTCTGCTCTGTATAGGTTTGATGAAGTCCAGAGTTCTGGTGAAAATATTGCCTACCTTCTCATAATAAAGAAATATGGCTGTTTAATGGAAGGAATGGCTGTTTTTTCTCAATGCATGAGTGCAAAATATGACACGAGGAATTACTATTTAAACTGTAAAACTGTAAAAATGTTCACCAGCATTTTATACCAAGTAAATGAGGCTCAAACATTTTTCATGCTGCTTCAGAAAAGCATTTTTTTCACTGGCACTGCCACCTCCTGCTCCAATTTACCTGGCTACATCCATTAAAACAAACTATGGCAGACTTTGTCCTGTCCTGCCTCCCTAACACATTTTCTTGGCTATTCAAGCTCATTCTGTAGGTGTTTTGGATCCTGATGGACTTTATTAGAGAGCAATACACAATGGGTTTATCTGAAGTGCTCTATACAGAAGGTATGCAGAACGTACCCTTGGAGGGCCAGCACAAGTTTAATCATTTATTTAATAGACATTTCTTGGAACACATACAAACCTTCGCGAGGGCATTCAGCTGGAGAAATGTGACAGAAATCTATATCAGAATTGGTTTATTTTACAGTTATCCCTTATGTTTTCTTTTTGTGCTATGACAAAGATATGAGATGAGTTGACACTTTGGATGTTGTTGTCCTTTTATAACAAATATTAAACATGTTACGTCTTGCATTGGGTATCAAGTTACGTGTGAGAAAACCTATAGCACTGGGGCTAAAAAGAAAAAAAATCCAATGGACAACAGATGTGTGTGTTATCGTTTGCATATTACTGCATTGCATTCTGGGAGACACCATCTTCCTGAATTACTGTATTCAAAGAAAGTCTGCTAATCAATTTTTAATCTATTTATGATGCACTGGTAAGTTTCCAAATATATTATATTAACTTAAAGGCTTGGGACACACGCACTGCTCCACTTCAGCCACATCATCATGTCTCTGTGGTTCAGAATGGAAACAGGACTGTGTGTCTCATATAGAACTATTAATTAAAGGTGGTCCCAGACATCTGTTATCAGTCATAGCAGGGTGGTTTCCAACCTTTATTTTCCCACGCTCCCCCTCTCTTTCCTGTTACCATAATGGTAAGTCTCTGCACCTTCCTTTCCCTCACTTTTTTCTGTAGTTTAAGATAACTATAAGTTAGTATATGGATATTTCCCCCCTCCAAACTTTAATGATGAGTTAGCATGGGGGGATCTCCCCTCTCTTGTATCTGTAATTCAGTGAAGGGAGGAGACTCTCTGCCTGAGTTCTACACAGTCTCTCTCTTTACTTGTCTCACTGTGGATGCTGCTGGCACAGTAATAAACCGCACTATCCTCAATGGTGACTTTATAAATGGTAAAATGACTTTTCTGAGCTGTCTCAGCAAAAATAGTTGCTTTTGTTTCAAAGTCTTTTTCCATGTTGGGTTTGTCTGTGCTATAGGTATATCCAATAAAAACAAGCCCGCGTTCCTTCTTTTGTTGGTACCAGTATTTAGTGAGATAGCTGGATTCGCTGTGTTCACATTTTAGGGTCACATTTTCCCCAGGGAGAGACAGCTTAAATTTGGGGGTCTGGATAACATCCGCGCAGAAACAACCTGTCAACGAAATATAATTTAGCTTCAGGGAGCCATTAGAACAGAGCAAGTACCCCAACGTTCTGTACCATATGGGGGTTTATAATCCAAATATCTCTTTACAAAAAACATGTACCATGAGATTCTGTAACCTAAATTTATGGGGAAAAAAAACATTGATCGACTTTAAAAAAGACAAAGTAAAACTGGTTATATCTAAATCTCTATATTTTATTTTATTTTTGTCCCTTTTCATAATTTAGTTAGCAAAATAAGTAAATTTGTAAATATTTTTTCAATTTGCTTTATCAAGGCAATATTTTTAATACAGAATTCCATGGGTTAAATGTTAATGGAGTCAGGAAATGTACATTTTTAAATTTAGGCTATAGTAGTCAGACTGGAATTTTTGTATCGGATAGCTATGTTTTAATTTTAAAAATGTAACATTCACCATAAAGTCACTTTTGCATTTCTGAAAATTCACACGATGTTAGGGTTATTTACTAAAGTAAAAATTCAAAGTGAAATTCAAATTTAATGCCAAAATTCTCAATGTCAGCTTTGCTTTCAGTTCAGCTAATTTTGCCTGAAATTTGAAATTCTGTTGGAATTCACTTTGAATTTTCACTTAAGCAAATAACCCGGTAAATGTCATCTAAAAGTCTGGATATTATAGACATTTAAAAAGTTAACTATTTTTTGTTATAACAGATCATGATGTGACACACATGCACAGTACCATACACAGACACAATGACAGCACACACAAACAATGCTCACACTTCAACCAGACCACCGTCAGCAGCAGATACACTATGGGCTGCATCTTCAAGGAGTCAGGGAACCCACTGAAACACAGAACTTAGCCACACGGCCAACTTATTACAGACAGGAAATTACGTCATCACAAACGTCAACCAGTTTTATAATAAATAACTTAAGCTAGGGATTCCAGATCCACCGTTCTTTGTGTAGTATGTAATATGGGGTCAAAATTAATTAATTAATCAAGGAGAGGTGTCAAATGCATTGCCTTGATTTGTTAATTAATTGTTCCTCCTCTGAGATGAAACTAACAGGGGTATTTGCAAAAGTGAATATCACATATTAAGCCAGAATTACTGAATTTTAAAACGTCTCTCTTGCCCTAAAATGTAAAGTCATCTTGTATTCACTTTGAATTCCTTATTATTCTCATTTTAGTAAACAACTGCAAGTCTCCACAAACACCTATTAGTTTAAGGAGAGTCCGCATACCAATATATCTGTCTTCAAAGAGAATTGATCTCCTGATTTTACGAAGTTTGAATTAGATGAAAAAATTAAATTTATTAGTTTTAGTGAATTATGTTCATTCAACTGTGAATTAAGAATCAAACAGGAAAATTGAAGCCAAAAAAGAGACATGACAAACTATAATTTTTCATAGTTATATAGTTATAGTTTTATAGAATCAGCATTCGCTTGCACCTCAATTTATTGATTCGGACAGGCCGGCGTTTGGCTCTTCTTACAGGAAAGCATTGGATTGGCTAAGATCATAAATTCTGATGATGTCAGCAAAGGAGGCGGATCCCGGACGGGGCCAGCGTCAGCTGACCCGCGTGGCACTGGCATAAAGGTGAGTTTTTTTATATAAGTGGAGCAAGGGGGGCCAAGTACCTAAATTGTGTTTTTAACACAATATGGTCATGAATACACATTTGTGTTCCTGACCATTTAGTGTTCTTTTAAGTGGCACAAGCTCACAGCACACTGCTCCGTAACACGAAAACTGACTTCCAAATCAACTGAAAAGGCTTGTCTATCATGCTATTCAGTTTATTCACTCCTTGCAGGGAATATTACTCGGAGCTGACTGCTGGAACATTGTGTAATATATGGATTTTGGCCTCAATCAGAATTAATGTGGATCATTTACAAGTCTCCTTTGGTAACATATGGGTTTTGATAATGAGAGCACTAGATACCCTCTTATAATACACAGGTTTTGCCATCAGCAGTTCAGTCTATCAGCAACCCCTTATAATAACCTATTGATTATCATATGGAAGATTTTACTGACGATTTGCAGGACCATCATCTACTGATATATTAGTGGTAGCTACTAAATCAGAACACGGGGTGGGCTGGCAACTTGTGGCCTAGTGGCCTAGTGGGCAATTGTCCCCCTGCACCCCTTGTCAGTACTCACTTATCTATTAGAACCCTTAGATATTACATTAAAAATGATTAAAATAAAATGATAATCAAAAATGTAACTGTAAAAATTGATGCACTTTCGTGTCACTAGAGTGACATCTAAAGGACAGTTTCTGCTATGGCATTTTCAGTGATTATCTTGAAAGAAATTATACCTAGCCGAAAAAAAATGTGAAGAATTGGCAAGTTCAAAATATTACAGCTGGAAAAACTGTTGAGTTGGAGTATTTTCCAAATTAAACAATTTCACCCCAAAATTAGTAATTATCTGGTCATCTTTGAAAACTCCTGGTTTAGTAGAGAATACTGCCTGTGTTTTGCTATTGTTGTGTATTAATTTAGAGTAAAAAAAAACTACACTGTAGTAGATACACACACCACAGGGGATAAAACCATTTGGTAGAAACAAACAGTGCATCAAGACAATATGAATCTTCTTCTCTACAGGGTAAATAAACAGTTGAGTTCAGCTTACTCTGCTTACAAAAGTCATGAGCCTAAGTTGGACCTCTTATTCTATCAAATATAAAATGCATTTAAAAGTATGCAAAAAAAACTCAACCAAAAGAAAAATAGCTGCTGAACTTGGCATGAATTTGTACTGAATTTGCACAAGTGGGCCCTTCCCGGGCCAGGCTGTACAAATCAGGATTTCATTCTGCTCTGTTTAATCTTATCACATAAAATCTTGCCCTGTGGATGTTTATGGTATAAGTTGTTTATTCCCCTGCACGATGAGCTGAACTGCTTGATGAACTGGTTTTAGAAAACTGGGTTGTGTATAGTGAATTTTCATCACTGCCAACCACACGTTCTTGGCTTTTTTCGCAGGGAGGAATGAAGTCCATCCTTGATGTGTTTACATCTGAGCACAACGAGCATATACCTTGTATGGATCTAATACCGAATACGATGCAGGCTTAAATTTACAGGGATTTTTTGAGGGATTGTTTTGAACCCGGTACTGATACTCTACATCAGGGGTAGGCAACCTCCGGCACTCAGGATGTTGTGGACTACATCTCCCCTGATGCTTTGCCAGCATTATGGTCATTAGAGCATCATGGGGGATGTAGTCCGCAACATCTGGAGGGCAAAAGGTTGCAAACCCAGGCTCTACATCATAACCTTTCCAATGATACCACATTGTTGTTGTTTTTTTTGTTTGTTTTTTATAGTGCTTATGGTGACTCATTGTTATTATTAAACAAGCATTATAACGTTATTCCTGAGAATGCTGAACATTATAGATTGATACTAGGTACCAGGATAAGGGTACAGGCACCTGACCTTGAGAAATAACAGTGTGAGTGCAGGGAAAGTGTGTGATATCACATATCTGATGGCAGGACATTGGCTAACATTATGTCGAGGTAATATAAGGGTGTATTGGTCACTAGTTTCGCATTTCCAAGATTGCACAAACTGAATCTGTTTCTTTCTGCCCTAGTTCTGACATCGTGTTAGTTTGTCTATCTGTCGGTGTCTGTCTCCCAGTAGTAAGCTTCATGCCCTAGCATTGACACCCTGTCGGTTTGTATGTCTGTCGGTGTCTGTCTCCCAGTAGTAAGCTCCACACCCTGTCTCTCAGTAGAAAGTTGCCTGCTTTGTCATCCTGTGTCTTCCTCTCAGACTCTGCCCCAAGCAGCCAGCTGCCTGTTCCTGCATTTCTGTACATCCTCCCTGTATCTGTCAGTCACTGTGTGCTGCTAGCACAAAAATACACAGTGTTGTCTTCGGCAGAGACTGCAGAAATTTCTAAGGTGCTTTTTTGAGCATCATCCGGGATTTGGACAATCTTCCTGTTGGGGTTCTTATCTTCCATTGTGGGTGTATCTGTTCTGTATACATATCCGATGAGAGCAAGCGACTGTCCATCCTTCTGAACATACCAATATTTATAGTTATAGTTGGAGTCACGGTGCTCACAATATATGGTCACTTGTGTGCCAGGAGTAGGCAACGATAATCTGGGATTCTGGTTCACATCAGCGCCAAGACAGACTGTTGGGAAAAGAGATAATATACACAGTTGATCTGTCTCTTACAGAACTCTTAAACCACTGCCAGTAGGCTGAACAAGACATAAAATAATTTGGACATTAAAAGCGCTAATCATAACTGTGCTTTGGGGGTAATGACCCATATGTAACCAGTGTGCTGATTAGATATTTTTGGCTGCATGGATCACAAAGCATGCATAAACTGCATATTGGGGTACCGTGGATCGTAAAGTAGGGTGGTTGGAAAGATTGTATTGTGGGGTCCCATGGATAGTATTGTTGGTTTTAATAATTGGTTTTAATAATTGGTTTTAATTGCTACTCACACTGTAGGTAACAAGCAGCTATGAGCAGATACAGGATAGGTGTCATCTTCAGCTCAATTAGAAACCCTCTACATTCTCGACCTTGGGGACACCTGTGCAGTAAATAACATTGTTGCAAACCCCAGCTTTCTGGGAATAGCCAGCCCACTTCCTCTTCCTCTTTTGACAGACTATTAAACATGTAGCTCTGCGTGTCTGTTGAGGTATTGTGACATTTTAAGGATAACTGTGCTTTAAACACTGGTGTCCAATGACAGGGTTCAGTGTGTCACAAAGCTTTAGGAAACCTCATATAACACATGCAAATAGCAGGTCCCATATGTGGCAGACAGATTGGGCTTGCTTGGGGAGACAGATAAGGGGAAACAGAGCTAATGTTTTTATTACCAAAGTATTTCTGTGTTTAGAGTTTCACCAGGTGCAGTATACAAAAACAGCACTTATAGCTACACTTGGTGTCCCAGGGTAAGTAAAATACATTTTCATTGATCTTTGTCCAGATTTAATGCATTAATAGTGAAATTCAAGTTTTTGAAGGGCTAGTACTTCACAGTCTCACTCCACCCACCTGACAGAGAGGGGAAATAAGACTATATAAAAATTGTTATAAAAACTGAAAGTTTGGACTTATAGGAAGGTCACTGCATAAAAAAATATTCATTTATTTTTATAGCACCTCCAAATGGCTTTGAACTGTTTTTTGTTTGGTTTTCATTAGGTCTCATCCTGTATCGTTAAATTGTGGCTTTTTAAAGGATAATTTTCCATCAGAGTTTGGTTGTTTTTTTTTTTGCAAAGTCTTTTTAAAAGACGTGTGCCTGTTTCATTCTTGCACTGTCTCTCTATGCAATCATCTCACTGTGGATGCTGCTGGCACAGTAATAAGCTGCACTATCCTCAACCATAAAATTATGAATCGTTAAAAGACTCTTCATAAAACCATCTGGCTTGATGGACATCTTGTTCTCTACAAGAGTATCCATGGTAACTGTTTCTCTGTACATCTGTCCAATAAACACCAGCGCCTTTCCTTTCTCCTGTCGGTACCAGTATTTGTAGATGAAGCTGCTGTCTTCGTGTGAACATATCAGTGACACATTTTCTCCCAAAGATGGAATCTTGAAAAGTGGGGTCTGTTTAACCTCAGCAGCAAAAAAGCCTCCTGTGGAAAGAAATATAACAAAATGGATGACTAACCAACTTACAAAATGGATTCCTCAAGTAACACAATAAAATCCCACACAAAGGCCACTGCTTTTCTAGAGAGGCAATCGTTCCATATACAAAACAATACATTCTGTCTACAGTGCATTACATATTGGCAACATGGGATGAAATTGTCTAAAAGTATTATATGACCCTACATTTCTAAGATAAAATCAGTGCGGTAAAAGGTGAAATTACAGAAATTAGAGTGGCAGTAAATAATTGTGTAAAAAATAATATATGAAATATTGCAGGTCTTACTATGTAGCAATAAAGTCATGACGAGTAAACATAAAAAGTGCCCCATCTTGCCCAGTGTCTGGGTCTCCACTGATTGTGCGATCTGACTGCAGATTCATGAACAAGACATTGCATCGTCGTGAGTAACAGTCACATCCTAAGGCCAACCCCCCTTCTGAATATACTGACTTTATAAAACTGAAACCTACATGATTTAATTAAATAAAAAAACACATCCCTGAAATGCAGTATGTCTCTGTGTACTCCAATAGCATCGAGAGGATTTTCTTTAGTGTTCTAAAGAACACTAAAAAGCAAACTAAAAACTAAGGAGGTGTTTCCAGAATATTTATTTCTTTAATGTATACAATATTTTACCAGGAAGGATACATTGAGATTTCTCGCACTTTCAAGTATGTCCTGGGCCCACAAACACTGCATTGTTACAATAGTGTACATTATAATACTACAAAAAATGCAATATATATATCTGTATATATATATATATATATATATATATATATATATATATAAAACACATAGCAAGCATATAGTCAACCATGATAAGTGCACTCTGTATTGAGGTATGTTGCCATAGATCTCTTGAAGGATTTTAGATTGAATGAACATTTGACTGTGTCTGTGAGGTTATTCCATAGCTGTGGTGCTCTGTAGGAAAATGAAGATGGAGCCACTTTATTTTGAAATGAGAAAACCTCATATATATAAAGAATGTAACTAGCTTCTAACTACAGAGCAATGAATGTCAATCGTAGTAAGGTATATACTGATAGAAGCAGTTTGATGAAATATGTGGGTTATTTAATCAATAAAAAATGGTTTGCTCAAGACAGACAAAGTGGTGTTTAGGTGACCTGCCCAACTCCAGAAATAGTATGTAAAGTGAGATCTCTGACCTAAATTTTCATAGAAAACAAATTACATAAATGAGTTAGCCATATAGTTTCTTATAAACTGATACCTAGCAGATACTGTAGTAATTAGTAGCACACATAACAAAAATCTATCAAGTTGTGAAGTAGCAGAACATAGACTCATATTGCTACTACAAATTGCGGGTCCATTATCAGATAATCGATATTACTTAAACAGTGGATTTTTATCCATGACTAGTAGTTGTCCCTAAAAAGTCCCTATCGTACCTTCAAGGGCATCTGTGTCTAGGAAAGCATCCAACTATGTCAATAAATAGTCCCTAAGTTAAAAAGTAATTAACTTACTGCTATACAGCTATATCAAGCAACGCAAAGTGAAATAATGTATCGCCAATGGTCCGGTATCCTGTGATAATATGAGTACGGTAAGTGGTATAGAGTACATAACATTAGTGGAAATACATCCGAGCTCCTGACATGTACGTTCTGCCAGACTATCCCCTCTCATCAGTTTTTTTTTCTTGCTAGCTCCATATTCTGGAAACACCTTTTTAGATTTTAGTTTGCTTATTGTATAGACAAGGGCTTAACCCCCAACCAGCAGGTGTTTCCCGTTCTCAGATATGTGTTTTCTCTGTTTTTGACTTCTCATTCACACAGTAATGAGTATTTTACCTTTACTAATATTATTTGACTTATAATTGTAGATAGAGCCACATAAACAAGAGCACTAAGATAAATCATTTTTAAAATCACAAGTTTAATTCCTCTGAGATCTTTGATAAAGTGCCTTGCACATTTGCATCTCCCTCCTTTGTGCCCCTCTCTGCACATTGTGTCCCAGTGTAATAATTTGTGTTAGATAAAGGACATCTTTTAATCGATAAAACCGAGTCTGGTATTATTGTCCTGCGTGTGGACTAGGCGCTGTTGAAGCACTTATACAATTACAGAGATACTCTAAGCACCAAAATATATTTAACTTAATGAAGCAGTTTTGGTGTATATAGATCATGCCCCTGTAGTCTCGCTGCTCAATTCTCTGCTATTTAGCAGGTAAATCACTTTTGGTTCTGTTTATGCAGCCCTAGCCACACTTCCCCAGCTGAGACTAACACAAATCAAATGGTTCAATTTTAAATCAGATCTTACAGCACAATGTGTTTACTTTAGAAGTGTTTTTCTTCTCCTGTGTTAATTGAACTTTAATCACATACAGGAGGCTCCTGCGGGCTTTAGCAGGCCAGTACTAGAATAGGAGGTAAGGAATTCTAAATTAAGCACACTGTTACGTAAAGGAAATTTAAACATTAGATGTCTCTTTGCAGGAAATGTTTGAGGAAATTGTATGAGTCTCAGATGGGGAAGGTGTGGCTAGTGCTGCCTAAGCAATAAAAAGTGACTTAAATCCTAAATGACGGAGAATTGATTTAACTTTTATTGAATATACATCCATTCATCTCAGCAGTTTCTGTTATAGCCCCTGATTAATAATTTTTGTTTATTACCCTTCTTGGGGTACCCTACTTAATGCCAGGTACTGTAGTGGGAGATTATTGAAAAATTTCCCAAAATGGCATTGCCAAGGATTATTCAGACAGTCCTCTATTTGCTACAGAGCGTAGTTTATTGGTATCTAAAGCTGGGATATATGCTGAGAGCTTGCTATCAGGATGTTGGCTGTTCAGAAGTGAATAAAGACTGCTGCAAAGATATTTCTACAAGTTAGTTCCCCTTAAATTACAAAATAGTCTATGAATGTCCAGTTCCATGGAACAGAGGTGGCATTTTATGATAAGAAGTGACTTTTCTAACATATAAACTGAACTGTAATATTAAATGATAGAGACTCAATTGTCAATGGGAAGTGCATGCTACTGAAGAGTTAACTCACAATGCATACCACCCAGCATTTTTAAGGAACATAGAGGAACACTTTCATTTTGAGGGTGTGAGGCATGGCTTGGGTCAGGGCTGTTTTGAGAAATTTTAGGTGACTTACTAATACAATTTTATGCTAGTAAAATGTAATTTAGAACCTTACACATAATTATTTCTAAACACATTTATTAGTTTATAGTCACATTACTGGGAGTATTATTGCTGTGGAGCTCTGACACACCATAATATGGAGCTTCTAGAAAAGAGGAACATTAGGATAGAAAATGATGGACAGAGGGATTTGAGCCCAAAATAGGGACTGTCCCTCCTAAACAGGGACAGTTGGGATGTATGATAATGGACCCATTAGACATGCAGAGATGCAGAATACAACATAAATCATCATGTGTTTAATAGTTATTACCTCCACATCTAATTTTTGTTTAATTTTGTTTTGTCTGAACAGAAATTATTTATTTATTATTTATTTATAAAATATTTTACCAGGAAAGAAACATTGAGATTTCTCTCGTTTTCAAGTATGTCCTGGGTCCACAAAACATTGCATTGATACATTAGGGTACAATAAAATACAAAAACAATATTAATACACAATATGTACAAAATTTAACATAGAACAGGTAGGAAATATATAATTAATCATAACACGTGCATTCTGTTTTGAGGTATGTAGAAAATTACCATTTCCATATAATTTCTAATGAATAAACTGTCCAAATACATCTCATACACTTGCAGTAATCAATAGTATCCACTAGATGTCAACCTAAAACAATTCTGAGTATTTTTATTTACCATTACAGATCATTGTGTTACCACTACATGACAGCCCTTTCCTGTTATTTCAAAGTTGTGTTTTTACCTGAAATGGGTTGTTTTTTTTTATAGTCTTTAACCAGTGATCGTTACCTAGGTTTCATGGGCAGATGATTAGGAAGTAGCAAAATATGAGCCAAAATAGCTGGAAAACATAGCTCCACCTCAAATTCACTACTAAAGAAAAAACACTATTAGCTATTCCCCAAATGAAACATGCATGCATGTAATTATATATATATTTATTTTTTTTCATTTGTGATATATCTAAACACAGCTTGCAAAACCTGCAGTTCTCTTGTCTGCAATGTCTGCAATCCTTCCCCATCTAACCGCTCCCAGACTTCCTGTGACTGTCCAATTACAGACTTCCCAATGCAGCTCAATGAGAAATCTTTGCAAGACTGGTGCCCTAAGCAATTGCTGCCTCTTGACTTTAACTCCACCGATCTAACCAAACCAGGAAGTAACAGGTCGTGTTGTCTGACAGCCAGGGTGTGTAACAGGGTTAATTTAGAAAAGTGTCAATTTCTATTAAAATCAACACTTTTTGTGTAATTAAAATAATAGGAAACATAAAGCATTTAAGGGGTGCGTTAGGGGTCATTTTAAGCCTAGTCTAATTCCTTATAATTCCTCATACTAATTAACCCTTCCACAGCAACTATTTTCAATTGAATCAAATAGTTTACAGTTTTTTTTTTTTACAGCCTGGGGTGCAATGCCAGCACACAAAAATCGGGTAACTATTGGGTATGCCTGGAACTTGTGCTGAATGGTCGAGTAGAAAGTGAGATCCACCAAAGTAGACTCAAAAAGCCACACAATCTCAACATTATAGCTGTCAAACCAAGCCCAGAGAATGGCACAACTCAGCGCAAAAAAAAATTCCCTTTCTGAGGCCCGTCAATCGCAGGGCAAGCAGACCATGCAGCAGATACAAGATGTTGTGGAGGAGGAGAGGGAAGGCATGAAGCCCAAAGACCTATGACCACCACATCACTCAATCTATACTACAATCGCTCCTGGACACTATATTCAACAAGCTACAATCAACCTTACAGAAAGCAATGGGAGAGATACGCATGGTTCTGCAGGATCTCGGCTCCCGTACAGTACATCTGGATTGCAAAATAGTAGAATTCATCAGTGCCCATAATAGCTTTGCAGACCAAGGGGAACAGCTGGAAACCCAATTAGACAAATTCCAAGTGAAGATAATGGATCTAGAGAATAGATCCAGAAGCAACAACCTCTGTCTGCATGACATTCCAGAAGATGTGGTACCCGCTGAATTTAATGCTTACCTACACGGCCTTCTCCAAGCCTTGGTTCCTGAAGTACCCTCGAACAAGTTCTTGGTGGATTGAGCACACATAGCCACCAGGCGGAAACACCTGCCCCAATACGTACTGATGTACTGATA